TTAGACTTAGTTTATGAAAACATCTCAAGATTAGCTTGGGCCCCCCCCCCCCCCCCCCCCCCCCCCAAAGACGGTTGATCATAGAATGTAGCATCTATATGCAAAGAAGAGACAGATTTGATGGTTGTTATTATTCATTGATCACACGATTCTCTTCTTAAAAAAACATTTATATCATTTTTTCATAGTACGAAAAAAGAGAGCCCGCGTATATCACATCAACTCGTAAAATAATAAAGATGGGGAATGAAAATGATTATAATGATGAGAAAAAGCTGTAATCCAAACTTTGATCACTACTTACTAATTAACACTAAAAAAGAAAGTGTTAATTGTTGACTAAAACAGATGATGTTTTAGTGTAAGTGAGTGGTGAATTAGTGATGTCGCTTTCCAAATTACACAACAAATCCGTAATTACAGAAACGAATTTGAATATTCGTTTCATTCACTTACTAATGTCGCCACTGTCATAAAATAATATATTTTTGTTTTTACCTCCTTCCTTCACTACTACTACTTTAAAGGTAGAGGAGAGTGTTATGAGAAAGTGAGGTGGAGAGATAGTGGGAAGAAGAAAACACAGAACAGACACGTGAATACAGGAGTGACAGAAGCTATATGTCACATAAGGATCCAAACCAGTCCAGAGACACTCATCATCTCTGTCCACTTGCCAAGTAACACATTTACACACCTCTCTCTCTCTTTCTCCCTACGCGCTCTCCAAAGTTTGATGATCAACAAATACTTACAAATTCTTTTGCAATAGTTAACACTTTACTCAGTTTTTTTTCTTTTTCTCTTTTCTAACTTCGCAAACTATATGGAAAATCAGATACGAACAACATCAGATAACATAAGAGAGTATGAGAAAGCAGAGAAGGGAAGATGCATAAAACTGGGATTGTGAATTATTTTGGCTCTATATAAGTAGGAATCCCCCAAAAAAAAAACAGAAAAGAATATTACATATGAGAGCATCATATGTGATCTAAGAGCCCTAGCAAGAGTATGTTCTTCTCTTACTTACTAATTCATATGTACACAAACCAACTTGTTCTTCCTACGTTAGAACCAACGTACCTGCTTTTTTCTTTTTTTTTTGGTTGTTGATTCAAGAGGATGAGGCTTTAGAAACTTTTTTTTTTGTTTTGAAAATGACGAAAGAAAAAGACACTCCCTAGGACAACGTGTGAACGAACAATATCTCCATATTTTTTTTGAGTATTTCCATTGAGATTGTGTTTTCTGTATCCTGCAGATATAAAAGAACAATGCTCTCTATATATACATAGTTGCAGCAAAAAACTCTTTGAGACAAAAGATTTATGGGTTTTCTGAAAGTGTTACCCCTAAAAATGCGAGACTAATTCCAAGGTTGTGACAAGGACACCGTTGAAGATGATGCTTCTACTCCTCTTCTGTGTTTTATCGCAGAGTTTAGAATCTTGTATTGCTCATTCACCGAGTTGTACAAAGCTTGGCTGTATGCGTCTTTCGCCTGCCATACAGATGAACATATCCAGTGAATATGATGAGGAAAAATAAAAAAGGACTAGGAAATTAAGTCCACTTAATCTTGAAACTAAGGAAAATGGTAATAGACAGACCTCGTTAGGGTTCTTGCATTCTGCTGTGACCTCTGAGAAGCTGACTTCAGGACCAATTGATAGTCCAGTACCGTGAAACCCAACCAGTCTTTTCTCTCCAATTTCTTTCTCAACCTGGAAGATGCACAATGAGGTGATGAGAGGAAAGAAACCAGAAAACATCCAAACTGGAGAAGCGAGAGATAATTATCAATACTTGGGGTGGAGGGGGCATGATGTCATAGCAAAGCAAAGACATTGGATATATATGTCCAGGAGCACCAGAATGTTCAACCAATCTCCTCATGTTGTCTACCGAAGAAGAATCAAAGGGTGCCTGAACAATATTATTTTATTATATATTTGCAAATCTACCAGAACCAGATAAAATCTCAGCAATTCCAGATCAATAACTTACTGGAAACCATTCCCCTGTAGAAGGATCAGGGCGGTCCCTCCCACCGCTTGGTGCAATCCATATAAGCTGCCCGCCAGACCTACAGTGAGGTAAGAGCAACATTAGCAGAAAAAACATCAACCTTATCCTCAATTGCTGCTACTCTGAGATCTAATATGAACATTCGTTATTTAGCTCCAATAACCTGAGCATTGTAGCCATCTCCTTCAAGCTTCGTGTGTTTGCTTTTCTTTTCATGTCAACAAGCTCAGGATCATCGTTCATGTGTTTTTTCGAGTACACACATATGAGATTCCTGAAAGCAGGAGAAATCCCGGAAGTCATACAACGTTGCTTAGATTACACTTCATCCCATCAGGTAGCATACCATTGTCAAATGAAGGGTCGTGATACCTTCCCATACTAAACGGCTTACAAAGAGGATCAGTGATGACTCGATCACCAGCAACACATTTCTGCAGCCACAAGAAAGGATAAGTATAGAAACAATACCACATAGAAGAGCTCAGAATAAGTCGAAGGCTCACAATGTTCTCTCCTATAAAAGGTGATTGTGCTTCAAGCAATAGGGAAATGACAGCCGGATCAGCTTCACTTTGATGGTTTGATATTAACACAATATTGTGTCCCTGAGAGTAACCAGTTAAATATTAAAGTCCTAAATGATAAGGAATTCAATTGTTGATGGAAACAAAATCTTCAACTCGTTGACCAGAGCACAGGAAAGAGGGAATAGTACCTGCCGAATCTTGTCCTCCAGCTCAGAGAAAATAGAAGCATTTCCAACGTATGAATTTCTGCATAATATGTTCAAGGGCTGTTAGTAGATGAACATCTGGAAGATCCATTGATACCAACCAACATTTCCAAAAACGATATTTGCTTTCTGTTTGCATTTCAACGATATAACACATATGTTAACTATGAGTACAATTCCAGCTTACTTGAAATCAATTAGAGGACGGATGTATGTATGGACAAACATGTAGTAGTCAAATGGTTCTCTGACTGCTTTATGATATGGATTAAAAGTGTACGGATCCTGAAATATTCACAGCAAGGAAGCTCAAGTAAGAAAAAATTTAGATGACATCTCCTAGTAGAAAAATCATTCAAAGAGAATACAAAAGAAGTACCTCAACACCAAGAAGCATACGGTCAAAAGCAACAGACATGTTCGATATGACAGTCTCATCTGCCCTGGAAGCTCCGCTACTTAAAACCTAACAACATCAGTAAGAAAATAATTCCAAAGTTCAGTGGGCTGGTGTTCTTCAAACCAAACTAATGTCAGAGCATAGCACCAATCGTACAAACTAGTGAGTCATAAAAGGATTCATTTACTGCATTTTTGTAGTTCCAATACAATTCTTCCATCCCTGATGCAACATTTGCAGGCAACCTTCCAGCTTCAGCTTCCTTCTTGATACCAGATAAAAGATCTGAAAATGGAGATAAACACAAAGTTTATAAAGGCAATCCCATAAACAGCTCATTGTGAACTACAGACATAAAAAGAAAATTTCTGGTTTCAATCTTTCTGAAAGTAAGCGAAAACATATACAACGTAAGGATTGCAACAACACAACGTAGGAGTTTCAATTAATCCTATCCATAACAAGAACGGAGCAAGATCAGAAGCAAAAGGCAAGAAGTCAATTCAAGGAACCTTATCCAGTCAAACAAGAAACAACGACGAACATGGATTTCGCGATAAGATTACGAACAAAAGGAATCGAACAATCTCCATAACTCTAAATTCCGTTTCCCAATTGCTACCACTAGTGAAACTAAGGGAGTCAATTCAAATTCCTCGGGGAAGAAGAAGAAGAAGAAGACTAACTAACTAACCTTGTTCACTTCGCGCATCCAAGAAAGTACGGGAATGATTGAGCTCACTCGGCGTCTCTCCGGCGGCTTCATCGAAAGCAATGCTCGGCTCGGAGGAAGATTCCTTATCCTGAACAAGCTCAGACATCGCTCTCACACCCGCGCCGCCGCCGCGAGAACGAAGAGGCGGGAGAAGCTTCTTGGCGGTTAGCCTGAAAGAAACGAGTCCGCGAAGAGTCGACGAGGCGAGTGGATAAACCGGAACCCTAGCGGAGGAGGTTACGGTTGCAGCAGCAACGGCAACGGTTGCGGCGGAGGAGGAAAATGTGAGAGTCATTAAAGCGTGTTTGGTGATTGGACGAAGCAGAGCGTGTGTGTGTGTATGTGTGTATATGTGTGACGGAGATCTCTTCTTCGTTCTTGCTTTTTTATTTATCCCTCCTCCTTTCTCACGTTTTTTTATTTATTTTCCACCAAATTAAAAACCTCATTTTATTTTATTTTCTTGCTGTAAAATATTTCCGTTTTCATTTTTTCCCACTATGTTAGAAATTAGAACTTGCTTTAGTAATTTTATTTATTTGAAGATCTCATATTTAACTGATATACAAATGTAAAGACCAAAAATATGCAAATGTAATGTTTTTTATATCCCTTTGGTGGCGTCCATATTGCATTTATGTTTGTTTGAAGAAGTCATGTTTGTGTGTACACATAATGAATATCTATAACATAAATCATGTGACGTTAACAACAAATAGTTTGTGGAATTACGTAGTCGAGACCAAACCATATTAACTTTATACTATATCCCTATATGGCTATATTTTTCTCCTCTAAGTTTCGTCAGTGGTAATTAAACAAGTCACATTTGTGTGTGCGTACACGTTATTTTAAAAATCATATAACAAAAATGTCAAAGTCAACTGTAAAAATTAGATTTACAGTTTTTTTCACTTCCATTTACTCTTGTGATATTTTTTTTACACAGACTAGATAAGCTTCAATTATTAGTATCAAGATTCTCTGTTCTTCTTTTTTTTCCCTCATTTAAAGAGTGTCGTGAGTTTGTTTGTGACATAAACGGCACAAAAACTCAACTTACCAACTTGAGGATTGGGTTGATTGACAAGTGTCAGATTGTGAGTGGTTCGAATATAGGCCGAGGGAACCTGATTGAACCAATGGTCCCATTACGGCAGTAGCTCTGTTATTGAGAGACTAATAAAAAGTTTTTGATTCTTTGACAACAACAACACCAAAAATATCTCAAACTAGAGTTTTTGATTCCGAGTGACACCTAAAAACTCCAGTACATACATAAATGAAAGCGACTTGTAGATAAGAGAGTGAAACACCTATCCGAGGAAGTTGATGATCACCAAGTGGAGGACTAAGTTGCAGAGAACAAAATCAGCAAAAGCTCTCTCTGGTGCCAAATCCTGCAGTTTTTGAAGGAAGAGGTCGATAATTATGGATATTATAGAATAGTACAAACATTGTAGGAATCTATTGATTCTAGTGGCTCATGGTGAAAAATGAGATCAATGATAAGTTTCTAAGAAAATTGATTCCCATGTTCAGAAGCTCTGTTCAACATCTATTTTTCCCAGTTTAGAGCCTTTCCCATTCATATCCTCCTAGATTAGCTACAATAGTCTTTCACAGCATTAACAGGAACACACCTAATCATTATTATTGCAGTATCACTACGGTTTAGATGGAAATGTTTTGATATATACATCAATCAACCAAACATGGAGGAAAGGATGAGGGAGATGATGAAACAATGTCATTGTCATAAACAAAAACAGTTGTATGATTATTGAAGAGACTAAGAAAATTTTCATCTAAAACAATGTAATATTACCTTGAATTCCTTGTTTTCTTTGTTCACTTGAATCCGGAGACAAACTATAAACGCAAAGTAAAGAAGGCTATTAGATTTATAGATTCTCAAGGTATAAGGAATTAAGGATCTGTCTATCGTAAACTCAAGATAAACTTACCAGCAAGAACTGCTGTCCCGACACAAGAGAGAACTCCAGACAGGAATGAGTTAAACGGAAATGATCCCACCATAGCCATATAAGCCACCTAGTCAGTGAAATATCATGTTAAAACTCAGTGACCATGCGCTTAGAATTTTGGTCATTACACTGAAATGCTGCTTATGAGCAACAGGGAAGTCAAAACACCTATCAATGAAATAACTCAAGAAACAAAGAAAAAGATAAGCTTCATTTCCTCATTTCATTCAAATTAAAAACGAAACAAAGGACTAATACTTAACAGCACAAACCCATTTGCACATCAATGCTATGAAACTACATTGCAATTTGAAGTTAAAGGTTCGTAGCGCAGGTTTATAGATCTTAAATCCGATCACCTAATCCACCAAATTTCATAGACCATGGACGAAATAAAACAAGAGATCCATAAGAAACCTAAAGTTTCGTAAACAACGACACGAGAATCGCAGATCTAGAGAAACCATAAACCCAACAGATGAATTAGAGTACGTACCTGAATCAGAGCAGTGAAGACAGCGAAAACAACATACAAGTCGATGATCTGCGATTCAAAATTCCAAACACATTCAATTTCCACAGGATTCCAAAATAAACCATTGATCCTTAAAAAAAATAAAAAATAACGAAGTAAGGTTTAAGAGAAAACAACAATGGCGGCACCTTCAGATTAGTCGGCGTAGCGGAATAAGCAGAACGGAGAGAACGAAACAGATCCTGAGCATCCTTACTAGTCGATTTCACCATTCTCGATCGAAGAACAACAAACAAACACAAATCCCTCTTTACACTTCTTATTGCTCTTCGTCTTCGTCTTCACGAGTCTTCGGAGTCTTTTATCACTGTTAATAAACTTCCACTCTCCACGACGTCGTATGAGCAAACGGGCCTATATTAAGATTACTTGGGCTTTAATTGAATAACCGTAACGGCGTCGTTTTTGATATTGAATTTAAACCATTTAAAATATATACAGTAAACCAAAAAGAACAAAATAGTTTCTTGCTTCAATTCCGCCGCGTAGTACTAACCACATTTTTCTCGCTTTGCCGTCTTCTCCGGCGATTTACAGACACTAGTTTCTCTCCGGTTGTTACAATCTGTCGGAGATATTGAAAATCAGAAACCGGGAATATCAAAATGACTTCGTTTCTTAGTTTCTCCGCCATTTCAGCTCACCCACCTGCTTTTTCCGGCGCTTCATATCGTTCTCGCTCTTTATCTCCCAGGTCATTGTCTCTCTCACTCTTTTAACTATGTTTCTAGTTTCTTCATCGATTCATATGATCTAATTGATTCTTTTGAAACAACTTTTGCAGAATTGCGTAATCAAATCATATAAAACTAGCTTCAAGTCTCTGAATCCTTAAGTCTTATTGAAAATTGAAAAGAAGCTTCTTTTAATGTGTGTTTACAGATTGTTCAAGTCTTGTGTAAAGTGTACTTATGCTGAAGGTGGAATAAGCAACGATTCGTGGTCAGCTCCAATTGACGTTGTGGCAGATGTCAAATCCGAAAGGGTATGAAAGAGAAAGAGCGAGCCTTAATTTGTGTTCGGTTTTATGATTTCTTTGTCTCAATTGAAAGACATTTTCTCTTAACTTAGGTTGTAGTTCTTGGTGGCAATGGTTTCGTTGGTTCAGCTATCTGCAAAGCAGCAATCTCCGATGGAATTGAGGTTATTAGTGTTAGCAGGTATAGATAAAGTATACACATAGTGCTTTGCGTTTGAAATCTTTACCACTCTCGCCTTTTTCCGATAACCAATCTCGTTGATTGATCTTTTAGGTCAGGTCGTCCTAACTTCCAAGATTCATGGTTGGATCAGGTTACATGGGTAACTGGTAATCACTTCTGTTTTTGGTTATATCAAATATTCACATAAACATGTCCAAGTGTGAGTCTTAATGTGTATGTGTTTTTCTGCTTTTTGGGATTTTGTAGGTGATGTATTCTACTTGAACTGGGATGAAGTACTTCTTGGTGCAACTGCTGTTGTTTCAACCATTGGTGGCTTTGGAAACGAAGAACAGATGAAAAGAATCAACGGTGAAGCTAACGTTATTGCTGTGAATGCTGCTAAGGATTTCGGTTAAGTGTCTCTAATCTCTATAGCTAAAAATCCGAGTTACCAGCATTTCCATGGGTTTTCATGTTTAGCCCTTTATCATGTGCAGGGGTTCCTAAGTTCGTCTTGATAACTGTTCACGATTACAATCTTCCCCCGTTTATTCTCTCCAGCGGCTATTTCACCGGAAAACGTAACGCGGAGGCAGAACTTCTTTCCAAATATCCCACCTCTGGTAAGAGATCAGCTCCGTTTCATTTCTTTGGTTTTTTAAAATATCCTATCAGAAAGCTTACCAAGTGTATCTGTGATCTCCTCTGTTGTTCTTAAAGGAGTTGTGCTAAGACCTGGTTTCATCTACGGTAAACGAAAAGTAAACGGAATCGAAGTCCCGCTTGATCTGGTCGGGGAGCCACTAGACAAGATCTATGAATCTGCAGAGAGTTTCATTAGACCATTGAGGTCTCTCCCTGCGTCTGATCTCCTCTTGGCTCCACCGGTTAACGTCAATGACTTAGCACTTGCCGTGATTAACGCGATTAAAGATGACGACTTCTTTGGCATTTTCACTATTGAACAGATCAAAGAAGCAGCTGCAAAGTTGAGAGCATGAAGCGTCTTTAGATACTTAAAATGAATGTTATTGGTCAGGTGGAGTTTAAAAAGACTATTAAATAAATAGCTTCGTCTTTTCCTCTCCCTTAGTCAAATTTGTAACTGTAATGTAGTATATCATTTGTAAACGTGTGTATATGGTTTACACTTTGGTTTTAGATGATGTTTCCAAATTTTGTCCAAAAAAAAAAAAAAAAAAAGAAAAAAAAAACAGATGGTGTTTCCAAATTTGTTCTTCAAAAAAAATCTCCTGAAGAAATAATACGACATCGTTTGCTACTTCCCTTAACCAATTTTTCGTGTCAAACAATTAAAAGATGTGGTGGAAGAGACGAAACGACGCCGTACGCTGTTCAACTAAAGTGGTGATCACACATCCTCAAATTATTATTTTCAATGGATAATTGTAGAAATAAACATCTAGAATTTGTGTTCCAAAAAAAAAAATCTAGAATTTATATTTTGGGTATATTTAAGGTGATACTTTTTCCAAGTCAGTAGTTTATGCATAAAATTATCTGTTTTAAAATAGAACAAAATTTGTTAGTTTAGGAATGTGATATATAACATTTTGAAGAAAAAAAGTGATCTAATTTTGGAAGTGTCTCAATATGTAGTAGGTCAGTTTAATGGATTTTTAATATTTTATTTACCATGTATACTTTTGAAAATAATTTGTATTGGAAATGGTAATATTTTTTTTTGAATAATTAAAGAGGTTCTGGCCGAAGCCCATACATCCTTTGAGGTCCGAGACCAAAGTGTGTTATATAGTTTAGTCATGAGCGCTACTCGAACCGCAACTTCTAAGTTTTGCTAGAGATCTTGACCAATTGAGTTATTAGCACTTGGTTGAAATTGTATTATTACTTCATTAAAAAATTGTATCTATGCATAATTTTTTTTCCTTATTAATATTGATTGATCAATTTTTTTTTTCTGTTAGGGCAATATATATGTTGTTTGTAGTATTATATATGCCGAAAAACCAAAACCATTAAAAACGCGGGGAAAATATAATTACTAGAAAACCAAATAATGTTCACTAGTTTTTTGTCGCGAAACTAAAGAAAACCGTTAACAATTTTGCGCGCGGAGTTTTTTAAAATTATGTTATAAACTTGTAAAGTATTCAATTTGTTTACAATATATACATATGATCAGTATTATATATCAACAAAACTAGGAAAAAAAAACCGTCAAAAACAATCAGGACAAATATAAATAACGGTCGATGAAATAAGATCTAGTACTATTTTTTGCCGCAAAATAAAAAACCCGTTACAAACTTTACACGATAATTTTTAAAAATTATTATAAATTTGTAAAACATATGTTTTTTTTGTATATATTGCTTTATGATTTGTATTTAATAACCAAAAACTTATCTCCAACATATGCACTATTGAAAAAACTTCAAAAATATTCTCAACTTATTTGCCCACTTGACCATACAACTAAACCTTTATTCACTTAAAATACAGTGAAGAATACTATGTAGATCTCTATGCAATAAAAATATACTAATTTCTTTATTTTCCATAGTTATCTAAAGGCTTTTCTTCCACCCAATCGTTTCACAATCTCCATCATCAATCATGGTCCGTCAATGCACACTTTTCCCAAATTTTTCAATACTTTTATTATTATTTTTAAGTCGCGTTACATTTATTTTTATTCTTTATTTCTCCACACGATAATATATTATTCCATTATTGTATTCGACCGTATCTATCTCATAGCATTGACCGACTCTTCAACATATCTCACCACCCAATAAGATTACGACTTTCAGTTTACTAACTCACCGCTTCGTCGTTTTAATAAATACCCAACATGATTTGCTTTTCGTCCAAGCAAAATTTTTTTTGGGTTAGTAGAAAGATAGACAAAAAACCAAAAACCTAACAGGAACCGCCGACTTAAGATTTTTTTTCTTTCTTCCTCTATCTATTTTCAATATCGCCGATTCATATATAAATGACTCGTCTCCTTCGATTTAGTTTCTTCTTCGTCGTCATCGCCGGTTTAGGGTTTCCTTCTCTATAAGCAAAAACATCTTATCCTTCTCCTCCTCCTCTGTAATTTTCTCGTTTAGCTTTTGCTTTTCTATACAGAGAGAACCCTTGCCTCAGCGATCGATCTGATAACAAAGTTCGTAAGCTTGTTCTCTTTTGGTTTCTCTGTTAATTCGTCGCATACGGTTTTAATTTCTTCCGGATGTGTTTTTTTTTTTTAAGTCGGTTTTTGTAGATCGGCTTAGATTCGTATGGTTCTGAGTTGTTTTGTTTGAATTTTTGGATTGTTTGTGTTGTTTTTGGCTACGATCTGCGTTTTTTTCAGTCTCTGATTGAAATGAAACTGCGATTGACTTGTTTCGATTTGTTGATTTTTTGAATTGAGATTTTTATAAAATGAATTGATGAGTTTTAAGGTTTATTGGAAGCTAAGATTTCTGGTTTGTGTTTTTTTTTTGCAGGGACTTTAATCTTGCCGGCGGCTGTAATAAACTGATTAAGACGGTGGCATTTCTTCTCTGATTGTGTTTATTTTTTATGACAGAGAAGATGAACACATGTATCTATCAGGCTTTAACTGTTACAGTTGGGTGAGTTTTAAGCTTCTATAGCTGTGTTTACTTTGTTTTGTTTCTGTGTTTACATGTAAATATTGTTTACTTCCTTGTTTGTTAATTGTCTGGCTTTGTATTGTAATGGATCTCTATGCTCTTTGTAATACAAAATCACGACAAGAGAGTAATGAAAGACTGTTCATTAATTTGTTTATTTTGGACGGTAGTTTTTGTTTGACTCTATTTGCTTCCTTATGAATTGTAATTAATTTGTTTAATTATCTCAAGCATTTCCATTTCTTTTGTGCAGTGCTATCTAATGCTGTCGGCAAGACTCTATCTTTAGGACTGCTAGGGAGTTACTTAGAAGTTAAACAGTTGACTTTTTCTTTCAAGGTTATAGGTTTAGTATTGTTAATATATAGAAATGGAAGCAAAGATCGCCAAGGTATTGGATAGTAGGGTTCAAGATGGATTCGGAAAGAAAAGGAAGCACGCAGCAAGCTATGCTGCGTATGTTACTACTACTGGAGTAAAACCGTGTTCTAAGCTGCAACATGTGCCCCCACCGAATGGGATTCCTGACAAAAGAAGGAAATTGGAAGGTGAAAACAAGCTTAATGCTTATGAGAATCGCTCTGGGAAGTCACTGGTCAGATACTATTCGTATTTTAAGAAGACGGGAGTTGCGAAACGTGTTATGATCTTTGAGAATGGTGAATGGAATGATTTGCCTGAGGATATTATCTGCTCTATCAGAAATGAATTAGAAGAAAAGAGAGCCGCTATTGAGTTTGAGTTGTGTGGTCACAGTTTTATTTTGGACTTCTTGCATATGCATAGACTAGACTTGGAAACAGGGGGAAAAACCCCACTTGCATGGATTGATGTTGGAGGCAAATGCTTTTTCCCTGAAATTTATGAGAGTGATGAAACGACTAATTGTCGCCATCATAACTGTGGGAAAGATCAACAACAGTATGCTCCACGTGACATCAAACTGCGCCTTGAGATTGATGTTAATGCTGGCGAGTCGCCAAAGTTGAATTTGGAGGAGTGCAGCGATGAGTCTGGTGATAATATGGATGATATTCCACTTGCTCAACAATCTTCTAATGAGCACTATGACGAGGCTACTGAGGATAGCTGCAGTCGCAAGGTTGAAGCTGCTGTTTCGAAATGGGATGAGACTGATGTTATAGTCTCTGGTCTCACTAAAGATGCAGTTAAAAAAATGTTTGCTGTAGGCACAGCTTCGCTAGGGCATGTGGCAGTGCTGGATGTGGGCCGTTTTGCCAGTGAGATTGCTGAAGCTCGTCTAGCCCTTTTTCAGAAGCAGGTTGAGATCACTAAAAAACATAGAGGGGATGCAAACGTTAGGTATGCCTGGCTTCCTGCAAAGAGAGAAGTTCTATCAGCAGTTATGATGCAAGGACTTGGAGTTGGTGGAGCATTTATTAGAAAATCTGTCTATGGTGTTGGGATCCATTTAACTGCTGCAGACTGCCCTTATTTCAGGTATTGTTTTGCTCTGTCATGAATTTTCTTCATTTGTTTTCCATGTTTAGATCATATATTTTAACTTCCTCTCTGCTATAGGTACTTAGGCGGTTTAGAACTAACTGTGAACTTGTTTGCAGTGCTAGATATTGTGATGTTGACGAAAATGGAGTACGCTACATGGTTTTATGCCGTGTAATAATGGGGAATATGGAGCATCTTCGTGGTGATAAAGCGCAGTTCTTTTCTGGTGGAGAAGAATACGACAATGGAGTTGATGATGTGGAGAACCCGAAGAACTACATAGTCTGGTTCATCAATATGAACACCCATATCTTCCCGGAGTTTGTTGTTAGGTTCAAGCTGTCTGTCCCACCCAATGCTGAAGGTGATTAGTTTGTTCTTTTTTGTTCCTCACATATAATTTTCCCCCATTCAAATCAGCTGATGACGCATTGAAAGGGACACAGCTTAGAGATCTGGCTGAAGCTCAGGTCTCAACTGATAAATTTAGAAAAAAGGATCCATGTGTGGTAAACCTTACGACCTCCGGTGTTGTAACAAATTTGGGTTTAAAGAGACACGTCTCTGATTCATCATCCGGGGGTCGGATGAGATACTCACTCACGCCTTAATGGGTATTTCAATCCATCAAATTCTGTTTTATGTAGTATAAGAAGTCGATGACATACACTGGTTTCTGCAGGGAATTTGATTGCTAAGCGTGATAACTCGGGGGTCACTTTGGAAGGACCTAAGGATCCTCTTCCGCAGTTAGAGACAAACGTGAGTTTGATTACTTAGTTTTACTTCGTATGATAATTTTAAAGAGAGGGATTTAACAAACTATAATTGTTGTTGTGTGTTTTAAAAACAGGGAGCAGGAGGTTCAGGGAGCGCAAACAGTGTTGGTTCAAGCACTAAGCCGAAATCTCCGTGGATGCCTTTTCCTACTCTATTTGCCGCAATCTCACATAGGGTTGCAGAGAAGGACATGTCGTTGATCAATGCTGACTATCAACAACTGAGGGTATAGAAAGAGAAAAAAAACTGGTTCTGAGAGTTTTATATGTATATATGATTTGGATAATTTTTATATTGAAAAGTGATCTGTTCTGCAGGAAAAGAAGATGACGAGAGCAGATTTTGTGTGGAAACTGAGGGAGATTGTAGGAGATGATCTTCTTAGGTCCACCATAACAACGCTTCAAAACCAGGCAAGTTAGAAGTAGAGTGTTCGTGAATCGCAGGTTAACAATGTTGACAAGCAAATATGCTCAACAAAAATGTTTCTTTTTTTCTGGTTTGACTTCAGCCAAAGGCGAAGAACGTGGTTCCTGGAAGTAGCAACGGAGACCATGAAGGTGGTGGTGCAGGTGGGTTGTAAGTATAAAAGAGGATGATGACGAATATCAAAAGGAAGCTGCTTTATATAAAATCCTACCCGCCTTTGTGGTTCTCCTTTTGACTTTTTCTAATTTTAGACTTTTGGTTTTGGGTTGTGGTCGTGGGTAGAGGAGAGCTTTAATGTGTCGACTTTTCTGTCGTAAACAATCGTGTTATATAAGACAGTGATGTCGTTTGGGTCTTTGTTATTTAGCTGCAAACATTGTTGTGGAAGTCGTCGAGTCTATCACGTGAATCTTGTCTTCGCCATTATTTTGGTAGCTTATTATATATGTACCGTGTGACTTTAGCTTTAGTGGTCATTGCAAATTTGAAAACTTGTTACTGAACGATAAAGAATAACTTGTAGACGAAAGGATTCTTGTAACACTGGGGATGTTCTGGATGGAGACACCGGCTACTGCTCGACTCCAATAAAGAGAAGCTTGGCCCCTGTTGATGAGAACAAGACCTGTTTCTGTGGAGTAGATGAAATGGTCAGTTTGGGAGATCTCTCTTTGTTTGTGGCACCAACATGGAAGTATAGAACCTGATCTGAGTTGTTCACCCAAAAGTACAGCATTCTTAATTTCTTTGTTTTGTGAGATTGTTACCTAAGCTATATTTAATGGGCAACTGTGGTATTTTATTGACTTTGGGCCCAACTTTTGCATTAGTCAAGAGGCTTCGTAGGAGAGGGGACCATGTCATCCTCCATTGCGTCTTCCTTAACACGGCAAGTATGAGAGCCTTTATAAGATTGAAGATGTCAGGCCACTCATCAACAACCTCATCTACGTTCAACTGGACTTTTGTGTAGATCCAAGCCCAATAATGCTCTATAAGCTAGTGACCCAAGTATTGCCCTCTATGTGATATGGGGAATCAGAGTCCAGACTCCATGAGACAATGAGAGCAAGTGAGCAACATATCCACAGTAGGGAAACCAAACAAATTAGAGAGGAAGTTACGAACTAAAAAGATGGAATATAAATTATGTATATCCACAACAAGTAAAAGGTCGTTGTAGTATAGTGGTAAGTATTCCCGCCTGTCACGCGGGTGACCCGGGTTCGATCCCCGGCAGCGGCGATTATTTTTAGTAATGTTAATGGTCGATCTTTGTTTGGATCTGGACTGGGCCTGAGCCATGGGTATGATATGAAGGCCTTCAACGATAATTATTGAAACAAGTTCATCAAATAATAGTACTGTTTTTTGTGTTTTTTTTTTTTTCTAAAAACCAAAATGAAAGAATGGTACAAAAGAAAAGAACATTGATTAATATGAAAAATTGACCATTCGATTTGTTTGTTTCCAACAAATTGACAATTCTTTATGTATGATATAGGAATTTTTGTCTGTGTGAGAAAAAAGAAGGGAAAAAGTGATATAGTGACAGGACTGTGAAAGAGGTAGGGTGTTGATTGGTCCCTCACCAAAGTGGTACTCTCGTGACAGTAAAATTTTAAGTTTTATTTTGACCATATGCCTTTGACACGTCACTTCTTTCGCCACCGTCTGACATTTTCACAACACTTCTCTCTTCTTCTTTTTCTGGTCCTTTTGACTCTTTTTTTTTCTTTCTTAAACAATAATATGAATATGAAGTTGAAAACATTCTTAACTAAGTAATACATATGGTCTGAGAGTATATAAAAGAATCTAAATCCAAAATCTCTTAATAGTTCAAAATAAATCAATATGGTATTCGGATTTTATCTCATAATATTTCAATAAAATAAAACCTGATCAAATTATGTGTTAGGTGAATATGTATAATACGTAATTTTCCTTTTTACTGATTTTTTTATATATATAAAAAAACTGACTAATCTTTCTTTTCAAATATGGATGATCAGTAACATTCTCTATCTCTCCTTAGATGTAAATTAATTAAACCTTTTTAAAAAAAACTGTGTAGGCATTTTTCAAATTTTCAAACCAAAAACATTTTTGTAGTCTAAAATCTGAGACACATATAAATAAGAGAAATGTATAATGTATGTTTTAATAAAATATATATACAGTATTTAGGTGAATAATGTATGTATATGTATTATGACTTATTAGAGTGTATTTTTGTAGGTATGTAATTTGGCTGTATATAAAATATAAATAAATAAAAAATAAAAAAATTTGGCTGTATATATAAAGAAAGAAGGGAGGCGTTGGTTCCCGCGAGAATTTCGCCTTATTATCCGTTGTCCTCTCTTAGAGAATATATATCTTCTTTTTTTTTTTCTTTTTTTGTCTTTCTCAATTTTTTTTTCTGTTCTCTTCGTTTTCTTTTTTTTTTCTACTTCATTAAAAAATGCTACCTAAATTTATCATCACATTAATTACATAAACACTGTCTCTATATGTCAAAAATATTATTACAAAAAATTGAATTGACATTATTGTATTTATTATTTATATTTCAATATGTATGTATACACCATAGTTTCATGAAACCTTTTATCTTCTCCCCATGCAAAAAAAAAGTTCCTCGAGCTACTCAACTTTTAAACACTGCAAAAACTTCATGAATTACAATTACTTGCTCTCTCTCTCTTTTCACTTTCCTTTTTGTTTTCTTTTTACCTTTTATTTCTTTACATTCAATTTCATTGTCACTGCCGTATGCATGCATTGCATGTATGTTGACTATATATGTACATGTAGCTAGCTAGGTACAACGTTTTCGTAATGCAAACTCATTGTTTAATCTCTTTTTGTTAATGGACTTGTAATTTTTTGGAATTTGTTAAAAGAAAAAAAGGGTGAAAACAAGGAGGAGCGTCTAACTTTTACTGGTCACTTTCTCTTGTTGATCAGTAACATCTTTGCAACATTTGGCAATTTAACCAATCAATCTGACGGCTTGCAGAGCAGCAGACAGAGTCTCCCAACAAAACTATCGTGTCGTTGAGATCACGACACGTCGACGAGAGAGAGTTCTTTCTTCTTCGTACGACAAAGTTTTTTGAATGGGGAAATGATAATGTAATGATGGTTTAATAATTATTTTATGCTTTTTTGTTGAACATTCTAGTGGACTTCGTGCTCTTTCTTCTTCCTCTCTACCTCTGTTCGTACGTACAGACAGTAAATACTACTATCGACCAGTGTTTCAGTCTTTTGCCTTCATTCGCACAGAGATTGAGATATAAAAAAGACAGAGAGTGTGACAGATGCGCGACCTACACTAATTTTATATATAATAATAACCAAAAAAATATCTTATACTCCCATATATATGATAGAGAGTGTGACATATATATGATAATGTTTTTCTTAGTGCATGGGTTAGTAATAATATGAAATTATATTTATAAATGAATAGTAGCTCATGTAACAGTTACTTACATCTACGTTAATGTGGTTTTATATATCTACGTATATATGATTAAAGGAAGATGAGATTTGGATATTTAGGCAATAATGCTATAGTGATTGAGTTTCTAAATGTAAATTGGAAACTTTCTATTTTATGTTTGCTCTCTCAAAAGTACAATTTCAAACTTTTGTTGTTTTACAATAATTTTGTATGATTAAAGTAGTAATAATTTAAGAGGAGAAAGTCAATAAAATTTGTGGTAGCCCAAGGAGGAGAAAGGACAGATGAAAGACTTTTTTAGCTAGAGAGAGTGAGTAAAGACCAATTGTTCTCTTTTTTCTCATAATTCTCCTTCTGATTCGTATGGATCTACTAACTTGTGCCATCCCCTCTCAATGTGATAGCTTATGGAATTACACATGTTATCACAATATCATTCATCCATATCATCAACATAGCAATATATAACATGCACCAACAACTTTGAACTTGTATAAACATGTAAGAAAAGAAACTAATCAAACTTTGCGATTGATAATAAGATCTATTTTAGATAAATTTTAGTTTCTAAACCTTGTTTACTAGCTAGATTTACATTGTAGGGGTATGATGAAATAGTATTTATTTATTTTTGTTTGCAAACTAGTATGTGATAGCTATATAGCATTTAATAGTTGGGATGAGTGGGTGGGTGTATGTTGCAATTATTGGTGAATGATTACTACCTTTTTGCATGGCTTTTATATTCCGTTTTGCTTTCAAAAAAAAAAAACTTGAAAGAAAAGTTTTTAAAATATATATAAATGTTTTGGGATGTTTCACGTTGCACGTGACATGACAATGACACAAGGCCGTGTTTCAATTGTCAAATGCGACAACCCATACAATGTGAAGACAACCATACCTTCTATTGTCAAATTCTTATAATTTTTATCATTTTGATTTATATATATAAGTTTATATTGATAAATAGATCCATTTTGATATCAAACATTGATTTAATATTTGGAGGACTTCTAGAATATGTTTTTCTTTTTTTCAGTTCCATATTAGAGGGTGTGGCAAATTAAACTAGTTATGGCCGTCGTGAAAATGGATAAGTTTTTCAATCTATTATTTGGTTTATGAGAAAATCTTTTAATAAAATATATTGGTAGACACTGATTAATGAACCGTATATATAAGAACTAGAGTTTGTTTTGGTCACGTTACGATTTAGTTTATATATATATATTTAGTTATAATGGTAGTTCCCCACATATTTGTTATCATGTTCCATTGTATTGGACTCGGCGTTGTCATGTGTCCATTGTTGTCCATTTCACATACATATCATGATCATCACTCATCAGTCTACTAATTAGTTCCGTTGTTGTCTAGTTTAGATGTTTTATCAGTCTACTTCGTTCGGGTTTGAGATAATCAATCCACTCAGTACAAATAGGTAAATTATTCAATCAGTTCATCCAAATACGTTGAGATCATGATGATAAGCTCACCAAACTTAACAAGCTAGTTCATCTACCTCGTTAAGGTCATACACACAGCTATATCTCTATACCCTTGATAATGATTATAATTCTAATTTAGGTTCTAATCTGGTTCACTTGATACTTCCCGTGATTACTAATTCACTCGGCTGTGTCATCAACTTGATAATGACTTTATTATAGTCTATAGTATCACATTGGCTAAACCTAAAAAAAAACTATTCAACGTAACCATTCATCTGATCTAAACTAATTTATCTCTATATGTACTTAACTTTATTGTATTGGTTATTCTAGTCTGTCGGATGGATAGCATCTCATCATGCATGCCTAGTATAAGTATGTGTGGTCGAGTGTTGACGACTAAGGAAACAGCAAAATCCTAAGTGAAAGCAATGAACTAAACATTCTTTGGTGGGAATCTACCTTATACATTCGCATTATTCTATATTTTTTTTCTCTCCTTTATGTCTTTTACTTTTCCCCTACGATATATTTCAAGAACAAAAGTCCCAAAATTAATAATACTTTGGACCTAAAAACATATATACAAAGATATATTTCCCTTTTCTTTTTACGAGAATAAAGAGATATTCTTTGCTTTATTGTATAAGTTAATCATCTTTTCGAAAAGCTTATGGTGATAGACAGTTCATATGCTTTTATACCCACTCTAAAAAAAACCTGAAGGCCAATCATAAAGGTAATCACTAATTAATCATATATCAACCAAAACATTCATGTTCATTTTTATTTTCGTTTGCAAAGCAAATTAACATTTATATGTAGAAAAATCATAGATATATTCTCCTTACAACTTTACTCATTCTCCTTTAATTTATTTGCTTTCTTTCATTCATGTCCTCTTTTGTCCTTCTTTTAAACCTTTTTCTCTCTTTACTTTTTTCTACTTTTTCTCTTTTATGTCTTTTCCTTTTTTCTCTATTATTATTCTTTATATATCATTATTATCGGAATTGTAAAATAGAAAAAGGAAACAAAGTTTAACGAAAGAAACAAAACATTTATTGGTGTGCCTCTAGTAGTTGATTATTTCATAGCTCTTCTCAATAGAGAAGGAAAAAGAACAGTGTTTGTCAACCTTTCAAGAGGACAGTGTGATTTTAATAAGCTTTTAAGAAAAAAACTTATTGAATTGATATGAATATCGAACTAGCATTAGCCAAAATAGAAGTTAATTAACTGATACTAATTAATTACTAGCTAGCTACACAAGAAATTTTAGTGAGAACGACCCAAAGTAAACTCAAGATTTGGCTTGAATGGACTTGTTCCCGAGATGCTTGATGAGCTCATCTCTTCTGATGATATCCTCTCATAACTTGAACACTTCCCATCTATTTCCTTCTGTTCAAATTAAAATAAAAATAAAACCATTAATCACAATTAGCAAAAATTTATACTAATGCTTTGCTATTTTAAATATGTATTCAACATGTGAGGGTAAATAATTGATCATTAGTTTATAAAGTGCAGAAACTCATGCAAAACTAAGTAAAAATAATCTTAACATTTCACTAGGGATTAAAGTTAATTGTTCTATCTTCCATAATCAAGAAATTAGTTCAAAGATCTAACTTACCCTATTTATTGTCCTAAGGACTAGTCTTTGACATTGACACAATTACAGACATCTTATACTTTCTTATTGTTCAACGGAAGCTGCCGTGGTTTTTGCTTTTGCCCATATTAGCCTATAAGACAAACTTAGATAACCGTACCTCAAGGCATAAGCTTTCACAAGTCACAATATATGTGTGTCAAAAGGTCAAAACAAAACAAAAAAGCTCACCATGGTCAATGTCAATATGGTTAGGTTTTTCTTTATTTTTTTTCCTAATAAATGTCTAAATAGCGAAAATACCCATTTTTCCTTTTTGAAAATTCCTAAAGCAAGCTTTAATGAAAGCCCTTTTTGTGGCACCCCTTTTTAGGTTTACGGGTGACTTTGCAATGAAAAGAAATCGACAATGCATAAGATAAATTGATACTATACACACTTAACACAAATTTTGCGTATACAATAATAGTTATATTTTTGCAGAAAGAGATGTATCGTACCTCAGAAGGTAGCATAATTTCTGCAACATTATCGATTAGCTTCCCATGCAAACGTGCTTCTCTGCAAAAAAAAACCCAAAAGCTTGTTATATATATGAGAGAGAGCTATATTCGCTTTAGAGAAATGAATAGAAAAAAAAAAACAAAAACAAAAGGAGGAAGAAAGTGAAAAAGGAAGATAAGAAATTACAAGACGAAAGAAAACAAAAGTGTTTTTCTTTTGGTAATAACAAAGTTGTTTTTATCTCTGTCGACTGCCATGGCTGTTCGTTTAACGTAAGCAAAAATTTAGAACATTGCGATATTATATTCTGACATATATATCTTACTTTATTTTTAGTATAAAGTTGAGAAATCAATCTTTTCCTCCAGCCCATGTGTTTGCCCATTTGTTCATGTGTGTTTAATTAACCATTCTAAAAAGAGCTTTAGTTTCTCGAATTAATTTGAAAACAAATAAACTAGATTTGTAATGATTAAAATATATACATATGTGTGTGTTCTTGTGACTGTGGAGTGAGTTAGAGAACAACACATGATGATTAACCCATCATGTGTTTTTGTCTCAACGCTATTCAGTTGGGTTTTGTGGCTGAGAAAGAGACAAAACATGACTACAAAGCAGAAACATAAACCTAAACCCAATTCTTAACTACACTCATATTATATATTTATAGAAGCATGCACATGCTCTTGAGCGTGATTTTACGTTACAAAGAGGCATCAATGTGTATGTACGTACCCGGAAGAATTGGTCCATAGACCATTTGATTTCTCTGTCGTCGGATTCGTCATTTCCTCGCTATCTCTAGATTTTCGATTCATATCGAACATCCAATCGTCTGAGTTATTATCTCCCGACGAACCATTCTCGTAAACATCAGATTGTCCTAAAATTATAACATATAGAAGAAAACAAACAATTAGGGTTTCGACTATTAGAATCACACAATCTAATTATTAAAACCATATCGAATAGTTCACAGCAAAAGAATCTTAAATTATAGTTCTCTAACACTAACCTGACGAAGCTGCTGCTTTGTCGGTTGTCTTCACTGTTCTGTACATCTGGTATTATTTATAAAAAATTGTACATCAAAATTAAGAAAACGCATGTACAATATTAAAAATTTCGATTAGTAATTCAAAAAGCAAAAAACTCTTAATTATATTGATGCATGTATCGAAATAATATGGTAAAAGAAGAAGAGACCAAAGTAAGGAGACCAATGTACTGTTGTCTTCCGACACAGTTGAATAGTACCAACCAATTTTCAAAATATGCATAAAATTATATTCTATAGTTTTATGAATGTGCATAGAAGTTAAATAAATCAAAAAGATTGAAAAAATAAGATATATAGAACTGTTCGGACACAGAAGCATTAATTGACATTATTAATGAAGTTTGCGATTTTCATGTACCCATGCATGAATTTATGTGTCTAACCATGGTTAAACCCTAGAGCCCATTAAACATATGGAGAGGTGGAACCATGGTTAAGTTAAATAAAACCTTGTCTTCTCTCTCACCGTGACTGTGTGTAAGGACCAAAACCATTTCATCATTGAGAAATGATGGTGTTTCTTGTACTCTATCCCTTTCTGATTTTTCTATTTTTCCATTATTATTAAAATTATTATTATTTTCCTACCTATATATTCATATTTACTAAGAATCTATCCCTATTAAGACTGTCCTAAGAAATTGTCCCTAATAAGAAACTAGACTTGTGAGTTATAAAACATATAAAACCATATGATGATTATATATGTACAAAACCAACATCTAAAATTTTGGTGTATAACCCAAGAAAAAATGGAAAATAATGAAAACCACAAGTACTACTAATGATTTTATTGATAATTAGCACAATCACACTTACGTAAATTTCTCCATCACTCTCAATTTCTCTCTCTAACTTTTTTATTCTATGTGTGTCAGTAATAGTAATATTGAGTAATTTTTGGTTTACTTGTAACAGGACAAGTTTATTCTTCCAAGGAGAAAATTTTCTATAGACTGTCTATATATCTTCTATCATGAATTTTTATTTATAAATATTTATTAAATATGTATGGAATGTTTATATGAATTTTTCTTTTGTCTTAACTCAAGCAAAGGGTTGCATTATTGGTGGGCAAAATTGGATTTAATTAAGATAAGAATAAAAAAGGAAGGATCAGAAGAAAACAAGATTCGATCTGTTCTGACTCGAGTGGAACTCTGATTTAAGGAAGTCACCGAGTCAAATGCATCGATACCCGAGAAGATTATTACATTATTATTAACTAATTATACATTTCTTCATAACTTTTGTATTTTTTTGCATTTCCCAACTAAAGTATATGAGATGAATCAGAGATATTATACCATCTATAATGTTTAATTAGTGTACCTGTAAATGGGATTTAACATGAGCCAAAGTAAGATCTTTGACATCCATGAGCTCAAGAACTGATTTAGGCGTAGCTCCTAATTAACAAGTGAATAAATCAAGAACTCATTAAACATTCTTGAAAATGGTAATTAATTAAGAAATGGGAATTAGAAAAAAAGAGATAAGCTTAGCTTTAAGGTAAAAATAAAGGAACATACTTTCATGGCCACCGAGTAACTCAACGGCGTGAACGAACCGGGCATGGAGAGTGGTGGTCCATCGCATCCGAGGAGCTCTCATGCTTCGCTTAGCCGGGAATCTTGGCATGAATCTCGCTCTGTTCAGAGTCTGGTGATGGTTGTGGTGATGATTGTGGTAATTAGGGTTTGTAATCAAACCGGAGTTACTAACGTTACTAGTATTAAAGCTATTGTTGTTTCCGGTGAGAGACGGTGAAGAAGAGGGAATTAAAGACGACGGATCGAAAGGGAAGCATGGCGGCGGCGGACGGTGATGTTGATGTTGAGGAGGAGGAGGGTTGTGGTAAAGTGGGATTCCTCTGATTGGTCTTAAGTGAGTATTAAGGTCGTGAGCAAGAAACCCTTGTAAGTGTTGTTGTTGTTGTTGATGCTGTTGTGTCGGAAACTGGAAAGAGGACAAGATGTTAGAGCCGTTGCAATTAGGGAGAAGGTGAGGCTGATGATGATGATGATGGTTTTGTTGTTGTTGATGATGATGAGAGTTGTTAGAGAGCGAGAGGTCTTGGAATGGGTGATTGGTTGGCTTTGAGCTTGAATTAGAGACGAGAGAAGACGTTCTTGAATCGAGAGCTCTTCTCCAAAACCCTAAATCGAGTTCCTCATGATCTTCTTGATCCGTTGTTGATCTTCTTCTCTGCCATGTTGATGATGGTTTGCTGTTCGGAGGACTTATCTGTAAAGATAAATCGGGCTGAGCAGGAAACAGCTCCATGGAAAGAGACCTTTATATATATATATATAACTTATTCTTTCTTCTTCTTGAAGAGAGATTCTTCAGTCGGTGATGATGAACCCTAGTTCTTGTTCTTTAAGACAAAGAAGATAACAAAAAAAAGAGAAAGCTCTCCTTAAAAAAATTATTGGGAGTAAGGGAGGAAAAAGAAAAGGGTATGGAGGATTTGAGGAAGAGATTTCTGGGATTTGGTTGAGAATGTTGTTTCAATTGTTTGAGGTTAAGCAGATTTTGCAAAGATTTTTGAGAGAGATATAGAGAGAGAAAAATCAATGACAAGGTAGTATGTAGTGAATGGTTGTTTCTTTTGTGTGAAGTATATGTGAGAAAATGACACTTGAGTGTGTGTGTATGTGTGAGAGAGAGAGAGAGAGGAGAGAGGAGGAAGTGTTTGTGTGGACATGGGGGGGCTAGAGGAACTTAGGTTAAGAAAGGAGAAGAAGAAAAGCAAAGGGATAAAGAAAAAGAAATTGAAAAAAAAACAAACAAAAGTGGTAAATGGTAAATAAGGCTTTCTTTTTTTCTTTCTTTCTTTGCACTCTTTTGTTTTCTTTGGAGGAGAAAAGTAAATCCTTTATTTTTGTTTTTAAACCATTTTTATTGTTCTTTTCTTAGTCTACAACATTCCACCTTTTTTATTTTATCTTTTTACTCCTCCTTTTTTATATATTTTCTTTCTCCCTAAAATCAGTAAAATTTGAATAAATAAAATTTTCGATTTACATAATTAATGGAATGATATATAATTCTTTTATTTTGTTCTCAACATCTTTTTGGACATGAAGTATATATCAAATCAGTTTATGTCATAATTTCACTTAAATTTGCGTTGAAATATAACTAATATGGTTGATAAAGTCGTATGACATACAGAATTTTGAGAAAAAAAAAGAAAGAAAACTGTTAATTTTAGAATAAAGTGATTTCATATGAAAAATTCCTTTGGAATGTCTTTTTCTATAACATAAATAGTTAACTATAATATTCAACACATGAAGAAGAATAGAAAAGGTGAAAACTTTGGAAATGGTTTGTTTTTATGAAATCTTTAGCATCCCACACGCTCTCTTCCTTTGCTTTTAACTGAAACCCAAGGTTGATTTCTCCTTTTTATAAACCCTATATTCATTCCAAAAAGAAGCATAATTTTTTTTTAAAGGTTTAAAATCACAAATGAATAAAGGAAGAAGAACAAAAGAAAAAAAAAAGATGAAAAAGAGATAGTGAGAAAAAAGGAAAAAAATAAAATAAAGAGGAATAAAACAAAGTTTGCTTATTTTAGCTTGTATGACTCTCTCTTTCACATGATTATCAACTTTTCTCTTCTCCCTATGTTTGTTTTTTTTCTCCCTTTCATTTGTAAATTATACCTTAATGATTAAAAACCCTTACCACATGTTTTTTTGAATAATCTGTTTTTTCAGAGAGATGATGTTTCAAATCAAGTCCAACATAAAACCCTGTGACTTCACTTATAGCAATCACTATAGTGAAAATCACAATGAACGATGGTGACCTATATGAATTACACGAGTACAATTTGTATTTTGCATGTGTTGAGTAATAAATTATAGACGATTATAAAAAACTTATTTGTTTGACATCTTATTTGAAAACATGCAAACTAAAAGTTTAATTATATTCGAAATGTATCACGTTAATTAATAGAAAATAAATTTAGTAGCATGTCATACAAGAAAGATTGATTGAAATGCAAAAAGGCATGTCTAAGTTTGAAACCTTCCCAATACAAAGCCAGCTCGAGTCAATCAAGTTGAGGATGAAAATGTAAATTTACAATGCAAACTATTTGTTGTGTGCTTTGTCAAAGCTCAAAGGACTATCGAAAGATAAAAAAAGAAAAGAAAAAGCCAAACCTAATCAAATGGCTAATTTTACCACGTATATATTTTAGTATTTAGTTATAATTACGAAAACTAACAAGGATACAAAAATAATCAATCACTCACTACTTAATAGAATTAAAATGTTGGGTTCTTTAAATTCAAGTGAATTTTTTATAATATGATGTTGATCGTTTTGATCTATATGGACTTGTTGACTTCATACTAACTGAAGTTGGATTTCACTTATATATTAGAAACATCTATTTTTAATATTTTGATATGGGACGTTGGTTTGTATCTAATACCTTCCCTTTAGTATATAAGTCTTATATTTATTAGTGTTATACTTAACTTATATATTAAAAAATTTCGATATACGATATTGGTTTGTAATCTATAACTTTGATTCTATTAAGAACAACAAAATTTGAATGGCTCAAGCATCTTGTCGAAAAAATGATTTGAAGGATAACTATACAAATTAATGACGAGAGATTAAAATAAAGGGATGTGTTCAGTTTATAAAAACCATACCAATATTAAAATCATCGTGACATATAATGGTATAGTAGTGCCGATGAGTTAGGCATAGAGATCGGCAAGATACCTCTCCTCCATAGGGAATAGAAATCTCCATAAGAAAACGACATTTGATCTTAATTTTCTTGAAATTCACAAACATGTTTCTTCTGTAGCTGATTTTGATTTTGATTAATCACAGCTGCTAAGCATATTATTACTATAAGCATTCTACATTAATGACACAATTATTAAACTATTACTACTAATAGATTCTTGATTGTTTTTTTCGTAATGTTCCCAACAAACCCAAAAAACCCGGTGTACTTAAATATCGAAACTATACTTAATGTTATTTTATTTGAACCATGCTTAAATAAATTGTTGTGTACAAAAAAAAATCATTTAAATCACTATTCTTATAAATTTACCTTTTAAATTTAGAAAATGTAATGAAAGCACATGAAGTCAAAACAAATACGCGAAATAACTTATTTCCATTATCGTGAGATTTGTTAAATTTTGATAAATATACAAGAAATCAAAGTATTTTCAATGAAAAGTTCAAATCTACCTTTAGTATTTTAAAACTAAGTATTTGTGACCGTAAATCGTTTAAATATACATATAAAATTGGTATTACGTATTATTTTTCATTTACTATGATTATTATTCATATTTTGAAGATGAAGGATAGATTTGCAAAAAAATAAACTTGGAATTTTTGTTTGCACAAAATCCTCGTATGAACTTTAGTAAGATATAAACCATCTTTAATTAAAAATTTGGGATGGAATTATAATTATAATTTGATTATATATGACTAATAAGTTTGACTGTTAAGTTATGAATGCAAAGTTAAAATAACATAGAACATTTTTTTACTTACATCGTTGTAGTGGGTTAATACTTAATAGTATGTGAAAGCAAATAGAGTTAAATAGAATGACCAACTCTCACAAACAATAAATGTGGTAGAACAAGAAGAACCTCACTCACTTTTAAAATTATGAAAACATTAATGGTAGCAGCAACCATTACGGAGCATCAAATTCTTGTAAAGTATAATAAAACCTGACGGAATGAGAATTACGTATACAAAATATGTACGAGTGTTACATAAACAAGTAAGTATATAGATAAGTTAGGTACGGAATTGGATTATTGAATGGGTCAATGCGGCAATTAGAACTACGGTCTAATTAAAGAACACACATGCCTCGAGGATTTGTGTAATATGCCTAGAAATTTGTGTGTTTGCCAATGTATATATATATTTTTTTTTCTAAAAGCCAAAAAAGAATATCATATAAAATACATATTAATTTATATAGATGTTAACAATAGAATATTATGTTTGTAGAAATTTGGATATCTCGTTTTGTTTGCTTTTTTTTTTGTTGTTGTTGTAAACCTTCTCGTTTTGTTTGCTTATATTGCCTTTTCTTTGGCAAACATTGCAAGCTAAATCGAAACAAAATATGAACATCTCTGAAGATAGCTATGTTTGTAGAAATTTGGATGATATTTTAAAGGCCTCAAAATATCATCCTTCATAAATTCATTTTTTTCTTCTTTTTTAATTTTTGGTAAAAGGTTAAATAATTTTTTTTTTCTTCTTTATTTCTTTCAAGATTTCTTTCTTCTTCTTCTTCTTCTTTCAAGATTTTGAGGTATTTGACGAGGTCATAATACCAAAGAAGGTTTGTTTTCAACTTCTCGATGAAAAAAATTGGCTCCACTATGAAATGCTCAACTTCTACTGCTTCAAACCATAGACCTTATAAGCCATTATTCTTTTTTGAAATAAAGCCTTTCAAATCACCCAAAAAAACTTAAGGAATGCAAATATGAGTCTCCTGAACGTCTATGTTCTATTTGAGCATCCAAAATCACTCTTAAACGTTCTCTAAAAATTATGGAACCATTTTTCCCTATTGCATGACTTCCCCAAATCTTAGACCTTATAATCCATTAAAATCTTCTGAGTTTTAAAACTGTTATTTGTTATTAGGCTATTGTGTGGTTCTTTACTTCTCTTTCCATAGCTTAGAACACTAGGCTTTAATTAACACAAATATGTCACAACAGTGCGGTGCCCTTTCAATTGACCCATCAACAGAACATTCAAGTGGGAGCCCTCAAGCCTATTTGTTTCCTCACCAAAATCGCCTTCATCATTGATCCAAAAAGAATGTCTCTTTTAGCCAGCTTTGGCCGGATCATCCACTTGGTCGACACTTAGACAACATTAATCTGGTCCTTACATCAACCAACGTAAGGGGGTTCTAGATGCTTTTAGTGTGAGCATTGAGCATGAATTCTATAACAAAACACCTTATTTATAATTTCGATTCTAATAGTTTCTCTTGCTTACAAGATAAGAGCAAATATGGAATCACACGTTAGTTTGAGAAGCATAGTTTCCACTCCCATCATTTCACTATTTAGCATGTATATTATATGTAGGATATGAAATTCACAATATCCCTTAATTCATTTATAATTTTATACGCTATTTTCACATTAAAAAATCCATAACAGATTTAAATAGGTACCACTAAACTACGAACCAAACATACATGTGTTTTTTTTCTTTCCCTTTTTGTAGTTTCAACTCGATCTCGACTGTTTATATCAAATCAATATAATTCAAATTATTCCAATTCATTAGTTGTGATTAGATTGAATATTGAAGAAAAACCAAGGTTCTATATATTCATTATTTAATATTCCTTTTACATTATATTGATCTAAAATGTACACACTACTTGTTGTCAAAATAAAATAAAAAAAACACACTACACACTGAATCTTTTTAATTCGCAAGTTCTCATAATTTACTATAAACATTTTGAATGTTCAGATTATATTATACAAAAAGATCTTAGCCATGTGGATCTAATAAATATTGAGTTATATAAGTGATCACTCTTAGCTTACAGATTTGAACTGCTTTACATTAATTTGTATGTGAAATCAACTTCACAAGATCATCCATCTGAGTGCTCATTTATCTTGTTCGTTTTGATAT